AACAGCAACTGAATAGGGTTGAGATTTATATCCAGTACTAATTATGACTTGCGCTTCAAATGAACCATTTCCCTGTCCAGCAAATATACCTATGTTGTTAGTACCATGATTTGCAACAATAATATCAAGTTTGCCATCATTGTTAAGGTCAGAAACGACAAGTGAATATGGAACAGAATCATAACCAGTTGACAATGTTTTTGGTGTTGCAAAATTTCCAAGACCATCTCCAAAAAGAATACCTATATCATTCGTACCATAATTTGCAACGACTATATCAAGTTGTTTATCATTGTTCATATCACCAACAGCAATCCATAATGGTCGAGATGAGCCAGTAGAAAAAGTAATTTGTGTCATAAAAGTACCATTACCTTTTGCAAGAAAAATACCAATATTATTGGCACCATAATTAGCTACAGCTATATCTGTTTGTTGATCATGATTGAAATCACCAACACAGACAGCATATGGAAGTGAATTGAAACCAGTTGAATAAGTTATTTGATCTCTAAATGTAGTGTTGTCCTGTCGAAGAAATATTCCTATATTACTTGTGCCAGAATAAGGAACAACAATATCAGGAAGGTGATCATTATTAAAATCAGCAACGGCAATAGAATGCGGATGTGAATCACTAACAATTAAACTTGGAGCTTCCGATTTCAAAATAAACGTACACGTTTTACCTAAATAATGCAAAAAATATAATATGAAATGAAATTAAATACGATTGAATGAGTATGTAGGAGGTATATCATACCTAATGGTTTTGGTGATGAAAAACAAACTGTAAGAATGCCAATGATCATTGATATGAGTGTGAACACAACAAAGATGGAGAGCGTTTTCTTGGAATTCAGCTTATGCGAACGATGATCCGGTCTAATGATGATAAATTTTAATTTTATATGAAAATAAAATAAATCAGACATACTTCTTTGATGGAGTCCTAACGGTTTTGGGGAGAACATTCGATATAGTTTCGACAGGATGTTGGTTTTGAATTGAGTGTGAAGTTCTTCTTGGATTGACATCAGAAGATATTTGATTATTTTGATGCTCTAATGATAACATCTCAATATCCGTAAAAGTCATTTTAATCTATAATAAAAATATTATTTTATGAAGATCTAGTTTATTTTTAAAATTTAAAATTTCCCGAGAAAAAATACCCACACTCACACTCTCAAGAGAAAAAAACTAGAGAAGAATTCAAGAGGCTTATTCCCTTCATTTAAGATATTGAATACAATAAGGAGACTTACAACAATAATTGTTC